CGCCCGCCCCCCCCGCCGCAGGCGTCGCCTCGCGCTCACGCTCCCCGACGAATCCACTCGCCACGCCTTTTATATTCTTCAGCAACGACGCGCCTCTACGCTTGCTCAGCCTCAAACTCTTGGAGATGTAGGAGTTCGAAGAAAGCTTCTTATCGTTACGGTTCGCGCGCCTCATCGCTTCCTTAACAACCGCGGAATGTCCCACGGTACGCTCGAACTCCTCCATTGTTAACTGTTTCCCCGTTTGCAAATCGCTTAACCTATTCCACGCGCCGTCTTCGCCGTATTCATTCACAATGAACTCCTTTCCCGTGTCCAGATTCTTTATCAGGAAAAACGCGCCTACTGAGGAAACAACAGGAGTGGTTAACTGGCGATTCGACTGCGTCGAATCGCCAGATACATCCTTCACCACTATTCGTTTTTTCTCGGCGCATGAATGTTTGCGCCGAGTAACCTCAGTAGCGGTTCTTGTTAACCGCTGTTTTGAAATTTTTCCAATTAGGTCATCTTTCCTCGCTTTCTCCATCGAGAAAGAATCGATGTCGCCCTCGGACCGTGACCGGACGAGGACGAAAACAGGCGCGGTGCGCGGCGCTTTTGTTTTCTGTTTATCAATGCGAATGGTTGGATTCTTATTCATTGTTTTGTTAGCGATGCTTTTGGTGGTTTTTGCGATGGAGTTGATCTTGACGGTCTTATTGTTGCTTTTGTTTATCTTTTTGGTTTTGTTGCCGTTATTATTGTTGATGTTATTGTTGTCGTTGTTGTTTTCGAACTTTCTGGTGATGGCGCGGGCGATGGCGGCGCTGGTGGCTTGGAGGAGCTCCTTGTTGTCGTCGAGGCCCATGCTTCCGAGCAACTGCCGGCGGCGCTCGGTGATGGATCCCGGCGCGGCCATCCAGACGTCGTAGTTCGGCTTGGCGGTGAAGTTTGCGGTGAAGTTGGACATTCGAGGCTTGATGGATTGGACGGAGGACATGGTGGAGGCGAAGGAGAGACGACTGTCTTCGAAATCCTCTTCTTCGTCGGAGGAGGAGGCGAGGTCGTAGGGGACGGCGGTGGAGAGGCGGTTGTTGGACTCGAAGAAGTGTTCGTCGTCGTCGTCGCCGCCAAGGCCCGCCCAGTTCATGGTCATCGTTTTCCGGCGCTCCATGACGGCCATGGCGAGAGGAAAAGAAGATGGTGGAAGCTAATGGAATGAAAGGAATGTGATGTTTGTGTTTTTTTATTGTTCTTTTATTATTACTGTTACTATTATTATTTTAGATAATTAATTATTTTTTTATTGAGTTACTTATTTTTTTAAAAACTGTTTTGTGTTTCGAGGTTTGAGAGTGGAAGGAAGGGAGGAAATCCAGGGATGAAGGAGAGGTCGGTTACCGTTGTGGATTTTGGAGGTAAGGAAACGGTCAACGGATTTTGCTTGTTATGTAGAGAAAGTGCTGCGTGTTGCTAACTTGCATGCTATATAGTTTTTTTTTTTTTTTTAATATTCTCAATTATGTTATCTTGGCATGTTTTGCTTTCCTTGTGAACGTGCTTTCGTTAACTGCTTGCCACGTTTGTGAATTTTGTATGCTTGCAAAATGGTTGGTCAATTGTTATATTTTTTTTTGTTAATTTAAATTTGTTTCTTAAATTATTCTCTCTTTATTTGTCTTTTCCCTAAATGGAGTGTGTTATACTTGTCTTTTTATCCTCTCTTTTTGTCGCTATTAAAAAACCATGTTTATGAGTCTTGATCGTATCTCTGCTGATATACGTATAAAAGAAGATTAAACATCTGATATCATTGTATCTAACCACGACTTTTTATCAAAGTGGGGTCGTTGACCAACTTATTTACGTAAATGGGGCTCTTTTGAAAGTATTTACGCTTTTGGGGCTGTTTACAACAGTGTCGCTATGGCCCATAGCGACACCCATGCCACGTGAAATTTTTAAACTCCAGGAAAGCCATGAAAGCCATATTGATAATGTCGCTATAGCCCATGGCGACACAAAACGGCTTCAATGAAGTCGCTATAGCCTACAGCGCCTCATTTTTATTATTAAAAAAATATTAAAAAAAATAAGTAAATAGTTTTTTTAAAAAGAAATACGAATTTGTGAAAGTGGCGCTATAGCCTATAGCGACACTTTATCGCTATAGGCCATAGCGCCACTTTTAATTATTTACTTAATTTA